ACACATGGAGCTGACTCACTTCATTGTGCAGCAGAAACTGGCACAATATTGTAAACCAACTACACCTCAATAAAGCAATAATAAAAAATAAAATGAAGTACTATGGAAAAAGCAGACAAATGCTATGAGGGCAGAGCCTTGTTCTGTGGTGTCTGATCCCTAGTATCTGGACCATGTCTGGCACTTAGCAGGCCTCAATAAGTGTTTGCTGAATACATGGATACAATTCTGAGGAGGGCATGGCAACCCACTCCAGTATTCTTGCCTGGAGGATCCCCATGGACAGAGGAGCCTGGCCAGCTACAGTCCATGGGGTCGCAAAGAGTCGGATACGACTGAGCGACTAAAGCATAGCACAGTCATGTGGACTTTGATTTTACTTACTCTTTGCCTACAGACAAGATGTGACCAAGAAGTTGTGGCCTGGCAGCCTTTACCACTCTGACGTGTGTTGTAAATGTTGAGATAGAAGTAGATTTCCTTTTAACATTTCACTGAAAATTAACTCAGAAATAACTCTAAACATTTAGAGGACTTTTGCTGAGTGGTGAGTCCCTGAGTTTCCCTTTAGGGTGAGTTTAGGACTGCTAGGGGGAGCTTCCCTTGTGGCTCAGAGGTAAAGAATCTGCCTACAATGCAGGAGATCCAGGTTTGATCCCTGGGTCAGGGAAGATCCCCTGGAGGAGGGCATGGCAACCCACTCCAGTATTCTTGCCCGGAGGATCCCATGGACAGAGGAGCTTGGTGGGCTACAGTCCAGGGAGTTGTAAAGAGTTAGGCATGGCTGAAGTCACTGAGCACACACGCAGGACTGCTAGGAGAATCAAGTGTGGTTATTGTACTTTCTGCAAGAGTGAGAAGTGTTAGCGAGTGGTGGGTGCTGAGCAGATGAAAACGAGTGGACTGAGGTTCTTATATCTACTTCCTCTGCCTCACTGCCCGGTAACATGCCTAGGGCATTTAAAAAATACCAATATCTGGACTCTAGTCCGGTAGAGCTGACTCAGAATTTTGGAGGCATCAATATATTGGGTTGGCCAAAAAGTTTGTTCAGGTTTCCATAACACGTTACGGAAAAATCCAAATGAACTTTTTGGCCAACCCAAGAAAGAATCCATGCCTCCCTCATCTGGCATTCGTGATTTACACCTCCCTCATCTGGTGGTCATGATTTGCAGGTAAGCATTTCTTATTTCTGGAGACTAAAACCCAAAAGTGACACAGGACATTTAATTATAAAAGTTCAAGTTAATGTGAATCACCGTTTCTCCATGTCTTAGCTACCTTCTGTTCTCATGTCTTCCTGACAAGAGTCTTACTGACAGCTATTATGTTACCCCCATTTTACAGATAGGCAAACTGAGGCTCAGAGCAGGTAGACAAGGTGTCCCAACACCTAACTAAAACATTTGAAGGCCAATGGTTTGTAAAACCATGTTGTAGAGCAGGCTACCTACCACCTGTGAATGTTTGGTTTGGTTTTGTATAAAATAAGGACAATAACACAGATCATATGAGGTTATTGTGACAGCAGCTAAGAACACACAGTAGGTGGTCAATGTTCATTCCATTTTTTGAAAAATGCATGTTGGGAAAGGATGGGCATGGTCTTTATTTTTTTTTCCATTTATTTTTATTAGTTGGAGGCTAATTACTTTACATCATTACAGTAGTTTTTGTCATACATTGAAATGAATTAGCCATGGATTTACATGTATTCCCCATCCCGGTCCCCCCTCCCACCTCCCTCTCCACCCGATCCCTCNCAGATCACCAGCCCAGGTTGGGTGCCTGAGACAAGTGCTCGGGCCTGGTGCACTGGGAAGACCCAGAGGGATCGGGTGGAGAGGGAGGTGGGAGGGGGGACCGGGCATGGTCTTTAATAGATGACATTTGTAAAACTGATGGACATGAAATTCTGTCTGACTCACCACATCCCATTCTCACCACATCCTTTACAAAAATGACTCAGATCAGGTAAGACTTCAGCGCTCTCAGACGGGGCTTAGACATTCTTTGAGTAGAGCAAGGCGCTGTGGGCCTCATGGAGTGCGTGCCATCCATTCTGTCTTATGAACAGCATCACTTGACTGACTCAAGCTTTCCTGACCACCTCCCCAAGGCCTCTGATCCTAGGTTATAAGCTTTGGAGGAAAATACCCTGTACCTGTGATTCCTTCACACTGTACATAAGCTTGGGCCAAAAGCTAGGCACAGGGGTAGGTAACCCTCCACAAAGAGAGTCTTATTTTGACTCATTTCAGCATAACTTAGAACTCCTGGTTAATGCACTCAAAGGAATGAAGTCACTATATTATAAGCAAGATATTCAAAATCATAAATGCTCCCAAAGTGGGAAAGGGGTTACAAATTTGATCTGCATTACTGTAATCAAGTCACTGAATTCCTCTAAATATTAATATCCAAAAATCAATGTCCATAACCATGCTCTGTGCTTAGTTACTCAGTCGTGTCTGACACTTTGCAACCCCATGGACTGTATCCCGCCAGACTCCTCTGTCCCTGGGGGTTCTCCAGGCAAGAATACTAGAGTGGGTTGCCATGCCCTCCTCCAGGGCATCTTGGCAACCCAGGGACTGAACCCAGGTCTCTCACATTTCAGGTAGATTCTTTACCATCTGAGCCACCAGGGAAGCCCAAGAATACTGGAGTGGGTAGCCTCTCCCTTCTCCAGGGATCTTCCCAACCCAGGAATCAAGCCAGGGTCTCCTGAATTGCAGGCATATTCTTTACCAGTTGAGCTACCAGGGAAGCCTGTCCATAACCATACATATCCAAATATAATGTGACCAACATTAAAACAACTTGCAAGCTTTACTTAGTTATGCAAGGGAATGCATGTCCACATTTCCATAACGTTTATAGTTTGTAGGATATTTTCAGAGGCATCAGTTTATTTCACACTTAATACTGGAAAAGGATGACATGGACATTCCCATTTTATAAAGGAGGAGAGACCAAGTGCTCCTACAAGGTCATGCGCTGGAACTCAGTTTTCAGTCCAGGACTCTTCCAGCAATTTATGTCCATTGTTTGTGTTATATTGATGAAGTCCTCTTCCTCACTGGACAAGACAACTTACAAAGAGGCCGTGACACTCCACACTCATCCAGAGAGAATGGCCAGAGTACCTAATGGCCAACCCCCCTTTCCCTGTGTCTTTTGTTGACCTAGAAGCACAAGGTGAGGGTTTCTGTGGGGTTGAACATAGGGTATCCGGAGAACTGGAGTTTAGTCCTAATTCTTTGGTAACTTTCGTGAAGTCAGTGGTCCAAGACCACACAACTCAAGTCCAAATCCCATCCTTTGTTGTGCATGGTCCTTGACAATCAAAACCCAATAGACCTTCCCAGGTTCTTTTCCACACACTATCAACATCCAAGCTGCTGGCCTCTGTGATCCCATCAAGCCGTGCAAAGTCTCTGTGTCACACTATATATTCTAACATCTTCCCACCTTTGAACATGGCATCCCATTTACCCAGAACAACTTCTGTAAGTCAAGAAGATGCTGACTTAATCTGCAAGATCCAGATCAAATATGATCTCCTTTATGAAGATCCCCTGGGCTGTCCAAGAAAGAGTCGGGATTCATTCTGTTTTATCCGCATCTGTTTTTATAAAACACTTTGCTAACAACCATCATAGGGGGAGTGTAGAATCTACTTTATAATGAGTTTCAGGCATGCCTGGAGGGAAGGCACAATATTTGAATAAAGTTAGTTTTCAGTAAATGGCTATTGGTTAGATGAATGAATGGATGGGTGGATGGATAGACGGACACATGGGTGGCAGAATGATCTAGGAGTACCTAAACTCAGTGGGCAATATGGTTGAATTGCTAGGAAATGGAATGCTTAAGTCCTATAGATCTGGGCTCTTATTGCAGATGGATGATCTTGGGTGCATAATTTAACCTCCAAGGATCTCATTCTCTTTAAGAATGAAATTCACTCTCTAACCCACTGCACTAGCTGGGAGCCCCAGGAGGCTGATGGATAGAAGTCATACCAATGGTTCCTCACACTTGGCTTCCTGTTAAGTTTGGTCAGTGAAAGGGATTCAGGGCAGGAGACCCATGAGATGTAGATTTTTATTCCACCCACCACAGCTCAATCCCTGCGAGTCCCTCACGTGAAAGTCACAGCTCTTTTCCCATCAGCCCCGCTTCTGGATCTCCAAGACCACTGGCGCCCTTGACCCTTCTTGGCGCACACACAGTCACAGCCCCTCAGGCCCTTCATGGTCGTTAGGGATCCCCTACACCCTGCCCACAACTTTTAAACAGTCTCTTTATTAAACTGTTCTCAAATTACCCAATTTGAGGGTGCCATCTGTTTCTTGCTGGAACCCCAACTGATCCCATGGGTAATATCCTTTCTACCTCCCAGCATCTCTGTGCAGCTAAATGGGGATCATGGATGTAAAGTCCTTACTGAATACTCTCAGGGTCTCTGCTGCTGATTTATGTGCTAAGTGGGACTAATGATCTCTCCAACGCAAGAAAATACAAGCCACAAATAAAATGTGGTGTCCTATGTGAAGCAGTCTATAAATGTAAATGTAACTCCCAATAAATATTTCATGGCGAAGTCACACTCTGAAAGGAAAAGCATCCTTTTTCTGCACGCACACGGGCTCCCCAGAGCAGAGCTCCGGCTAATGCGCCCTGGGTGCCCAGGGGAAGCACGCAATGGCACGGCAGGGAAAACCAGGCTTGCTCGGGATAGGTTTGCCCAGCTCCCCAGGGGGCAGACTGGATGAATGCTGACAGAAAGAGGACAGCATGTCAGGGAAGACGTCCTCTCCCCCATCCCCTCCTGAAATAAACCAATTATCAACCTGGATTGATTCTCTCTCTGTCGTTTCCTCTAAGCTGCCACCTGTATCCCGTTTTAACAGGAAGCGACAGGAGCCTGTTCACTAGAATTAGAACATGATGGGGAAGGCCCAGTAATGAGCTTGCTTTTGTTTCCACAGGCTGAGTTGAAGATCCCTCTCCTTTGCCGGGTGCCAAGAAAGATGAACAGACCGTAAGTATCGCGAGGTCGCCCTGAGCGCGCATCTCGCGTCTCCTGCGTGGGGCGGGAGTAGGGTGCTGAAGGAGAGCCACGGGGAGGATGCAGTGTGCCCAGGTGGGAAGGCCAGTTTGAGGATGTGTGGGTGCTCAGTGATTTCTGCAGGAGGTTCCTTCTCTCCCCCAGCACAGTCGGGGATGTGGGGTCAGGCAGAGACTAGATACCCAGCATCGGGATGCCAGGAGGGCACCCAGAAATACCACCCATCCGCCTCCCACCAGGGTGTGAAATGAGAATTGAGAGAACAGCAGTGCGCACACTTATTCCCACAGCAGAGAGCCTGGAATCCAACTTTCTGTCTGCGGAACACCCAGGGCGGGCGCTGCGGCTGGTTTAGGATACTGTCTAAATGTGTATCTGAATCAGCAAAAATTCCTCCCCTTTCGGACGTCTGTGAGTATAGTAAAAAAGACAGCAGGCCTCCAAAGTGTAAGAAATATTTTTGATGAAAAACAAAAGGCCTTTAAATTGAGAAAATTGGGTGCCCGGATTTTTAAGCACAACCTACTTGTATATTTATGGGCTTTATTTTGCCATTTGGAGAGACAGCACTGGTTTTCTCCTCTGTGTGAAAAGAGCAGTCGTTGTGTGAGAAGCAGCAAGGATGACAGAGTCAGGCAGACCTGGTATCAACCCCTCACCTCGCCCGCTGTTTTATAGCTGCACAATATTCAGGAAGTTTCACCTGTTAATAACTCCCTGGATGCTAACCCTTCCTCTGGGAAGAAGGATCTGGCCTGGGGAGGAAGACTGCCCAGGGGTATCCCATGGTAACCAGGTGATGCCTGGGTATCACAGGTGGGCGCTGGGCACGTGGTTGACATCAGGGTGACACAGAAACACAGCCCAACAAGAGACTTAGGCCCCTGTTTGGGGGGCAAAGTGGGGTTACTGTGACAGTCTCAGCAATATTTGCTACCCATTTCTATCTGGCTTGGAGGTCGTGAATCCCTCCCCTTTAGTTCTTGCTTCTGTTTCTCTCTGCAGTTCTGCCCTGTGCCAAGAATCTCCTTCCTCAATAGGAGAGCTATCTCCATTTCATGACTTGAGGTGGCTTTGTTTTTAGCCAGATCTTGGTCCCTCGGCAGTTGCTCTCATCAACCTTCCCGAAGGGTAGTTTTTTGAGTTCAGCTCTAGAGCCATATAGGATGTGAAGCTGCCAATACACAGACCAGAAAACAAATCAAATCATCATAACTTCATAAGCATGAGTTTTCTCCTCTGAGGATGGTGAATCTGCATCTGTACTTCCGCAGGATCCCCAGTTGATTTGTAGAGCCTCGTTAAAGTCTCAGCAGCATCTGACTGTAGAGAGATGGTTCACAGCGCTGTCTCCATTGCAGTACCCTGCAGAAGCATCTCCAGTATTCGTCAACTCAGGGAAGGCAGTTACGTATCAGATGTTACATGAGTGTAAAATGGAAATTCTCTTCTCTCCCCCTCCACACACACACACACAAATATATGCATTGTACATACACACAAGATTTTGTTCTGCTACACCTTGGAGAGAGCACGCCTTCCTCTGTGAAAATCATTAACCCAGTTAGTTCAAGGCAGTAGATTTTAAATCTGACTAACCATTAGAATCATCAAGGAAGCTCCAAACAAAATTTCAGTGACTTTCCCCAGACCAAAGAAATCAGAATACCTGAACAGTGAGCTGTTCTTTAATGCACAGCTGAGTCTAACCTACAGCTAAGCTTGCAAAATTCTGGTCTAAGATATCTTACAGTTCCATAATCTAGAATTCTGATTTGCTAACGTGAAATTCTAAATGGCCTTTGTAACTATGGCTATTTACTCTGATCCACTGGGCATTTTTAAAGAGAAAGAATGAATAAACATAAACGAAAGGATGATATAGAAACAGATTATATATTTATGCACCTGCACACACATATGGGTACACACACAATGCAAATATATGCACACATTTTCCCCTTCAAATATATCATCTGGGTCAAAAGCATTTACTGTACTTGCTTTTTATTGCTTATTTCACTTAACATAATCTCTTCAAACATCATCCATCTAGTGTCAGTTTCTTTGCCTTTTTTAAAATTCCTTCAGTGAGTTTATTTTTTTTGGCTCATTTGTTTTTGAGAAGTATAGAACAAAATACAATTATTGGAGGACAACTGCTCTACAATATTGTGTCGGCCTCCGCCACACATCAACACGAGTCAGCCACAGGTATACATATGCCCTTCCCTCCTGAACCCTTCTCCCATCTTCCCCACCATCCCCCCCCCCCCCGGTTGTCACAGGACACTGGGCTGAGCTCCTTGTAGAAGGTAGAACGGCCATTGCCAGTGACCGGGGCAGGGCAAATATGTAGCTGTTTAATGTATGTAGAGTTTCCTTTGGCAAAATAAAGTGAAAATGTGAAGTTCGGTTGCACAATAACGTGAATACACTTACCACAACTGGGCAGTATACTTAAAATGGTTGAGATGGTAAATTTAAGCTTCATATTGCTATTCCGCTATTTAACATGAGGTTCCTTTGGGAAAGACATGTACACTCTGCTGTATTTAAAATGGGCAATCTGCTATTTGGCACAGGGAACTCCAATCAGTGCTGGGTGGCAGTTTGGATGAGTAGTTTGTGGGAGAGAGGTTACATGTGTATCTATGACTGAGTCACTTCCCTGCTCACCTGAAACTATCACAACATTGCTAATCGGCGGTACTCCAGTATAAAATTAAAAATTAAAAAAAAAATTACTGAATAGTATACACTATGCTGGGCACTGAGCTAGGCACCTCCCTTGTGAAGATGAATAAGGTCTAGCCCCTGCCCGCAAGAGCATTAGGCGTACATTAAGCCCCGCAAGAGCATTTGCCGTACATTAAGCAAAGCATCTTAGTATTAGGTTGAAAGTGATGGGAAAGCTCCACAAATGCTACAGAGTCCAACTGTCCTGATTCAAAATTGCTGCTGAAGTTAGCAAGCTATTCTACATTTACTGTCTCTGCAGCTGGCCTCCTTAGTTATCAATCAAGCTACATAAAGCCTCGTTCCTTGGAGCAAACCGGAGGAGTTAGAGTAACTGACCACACCGGCCCGCTGCTCGTGACACCCTTGGGGCTGGACACAGGAGTTTCGATTTGGTTTCTAGTATCTCTCCGTCATCCTGGACAGAACAGATAAGAACTGGTGCTGCGGCTCTGGGTGTTCTGGAAGAGACCATTAGAGTGATCGCTTCTAGGACCTTCCAGTAAGAAGATGCCCTCCCTGGCCCAGCTCCTTTGGGAACTCAGACATTCAGATCAGGGACTGATGAGGGAATAAGCACCCCCAATATGTCCCCTTTGAAATAAGCTGAGTAAACTCACTTTGATCACCCTTAAAATGATTCCTAGTTCCCTTGGAAATTTCAGAAAATATACAAATATACCAAGGGGAAAACAAAAATCACCAATTATCCTAGGACCCAGAAATAATCGTGTTTTGTTACCAATTCTTCTTATTGTTCTATGTCTTGTGTAATATTTGGAAATTTCAGCTAGTCTACTTTTAAAACTTGTATTGTTTTCAGTTATTCATTCAATAATACTGTTTTATGTTATAATCATTGTCCCACATTAGTAAGTCCTCCTCAAAAACAGAGTGTTTTAAGGCTTGTGTTGAAAATGCACAATCCCGTAGCCATAATTCCAAAGTCAAGAGGCTTCCAAATATTGAAAATTTTGGTAACTAGCATGAGAACAAAATTTGACCCTTGATGAGGTGAAGTTATGGATGTTTTTCATTTATCCCACTTAGTGTGAAAACCCACACACTTCGTGTTTAATGACCACCTGTTGCTCCAGAGCTTACTGGAAATATTACATAGTATTCAGTACATGCACAATACTACTTTTCTAAATTCCAAAATATCTTGAATTGCTAGCCCTAAGAAATTTAGAAAGCAAATGGTGCATCTGTATTTTATCTGGTGGTTTGTTTTATCTTGACCTTGGCTTTGGACATATCACTGGTTACCTATAAAGTTTTATGAGGCAGTTTTATTGCTGAGATCTAACTTAATACTTTATACTCTAGAAGAATACTGGAGTGGGTTGCCATGTCCTCCTCCAGGGAATCTTTCCAACCCAGGGATCAAACCCAGGTCTCCCACATCACAGGCAGATTCTTTACCAACTGAGCCACTGGGAAGTCCAGTTATGAAAATGAAAGATAGAAAGGAAAATTCCTACAGGCCAGTAGGGCCTACAGGCCAGGCACCCTACTAGTCAATATGCAGGAGGATCTCTGCCATGCTGACTGTCTCCAGCCCTAAAACACGCTTCCCGTATCACCATATAAGACCTGCCACCTTGAATGACAGCCCAGTTCAGAGTCAGTTAAAGCTACATCTCTCTGACTCCAAAGTCCATGATCTTTGTGCCAAATTGAACTGCTACACGATGATTAGGAAAATAATCCTGTGTATATCTCACCAAGGACACATTCCCAAACTGAATAACCTCTTTTCTTGTATGGGCATATTTTCTCTTTGAAAACTCGCCTGATGAAACTCTCTGCATCACTGAGTGGCAATGGATATCAGTTTCTCTCGAAAGGGTCCAGTTCAATGTCTAGCACACAGGAAGTCCCAATAAATATTTCTCTCTATATGTATTAGATGTGGCATATCAGTTTTATGATAAAATGATAAAAAAATATCTTATATAAACCCCAGGTCATTATTTCCCTTCCTGATACATGTGAACACCACTGCCTTTGACCTCAGGGAGCAACTGAGTTTTGATTTACAGGAATTAATAAGTGTAAATCCCACTGAACCTTGGGGAAATGAGAAGCAGCAATTTGGGCATCCTGAGATCAGAGCCTTGCATCCAGCAGGGGAATCAATGTGGCTAGCTTCCCAGTTACTCAGTAGTAATTACGAACCAACTCTCGGGGCAACCAGGCTCGCCCACTGGCGCTATCAAAGTCACGGAGCT